TCGATTGAACCGAACTAGTTGAATAATTTCGATTCGCATTAAATGCTGTCTAGTGGATTAAAAGCTATGAATAACTTAACAGTCTCATCATAACGGGTGAGTTTCAACTTAAAATATCATAAAAATGCATCGAAATTCATATATGATATAAAAGAACGTAAAAATATTCCGGAAAAAAATTCCGCTATTAAATTTTTTTAATTTTTGACCGTATCCAAAAGTTTCTCATTTTTTAATTCAATTTGGAATTGCTTCGATATCGATTAAAATCGCAAATTCTTCTTTTTTCTTGATTTACAATTGGCAGAATATCGAATGTCCATCGCTAAATATCACTAATTATGCGTGGATGCACGACTGTCGGTCGCTCGACAAGTTTCGTTTCAGCCAAAGAGAGAGAGAGAGAAGAGAAAAAGAGAGAAAAAGAGAGAGAGAGAGAGACTCTCAAAAATTCTTAGCAGCTGTCATATATGAGAATCTTTGTTTCGTTTTATTATTATTTCTTTTAAATCTTCTATATTCTCCGCCACACAGTAATACTGTGAAACTGTGAAATTTCGACTATGTAATTCATATATAATTCACAAATTCTGTGGCGGGTCAGGCACTGAGATTGACTTTATAATTTGAACCGAACTTGATCAAATTAGGCGTTGACCGACAGTCATACATACATTTACTGACGTTTTATTTTATCACGATTATTTTGGTTAATCGAAAGATTTTCAAGGAATAGTATCGTGAAACAACAAAAAAATTTCTTTTTAATGATATTCGCGAAAGATCAGAAATCGTTTCACGAATGATGGATGCAATGACGTTATAATTTGTACGTCTTTTTTTTCACGTTAAGATCTGTTTTAAAACATCTGCCGATCCCTCTTTGCATCGTTTAATCGCTAAAAAAAAAAAAAAAAAAAAAAAAAAAAAAAAAAAAAAAAAAAGAAGAAAAAAAATAAATGACTCAACTCTCTGACACGACACATTACGACGATCACGTTACTTCCTTCTAAGGATGACATGCAGCGTATAAAACATATCATATCTATGTATTTATTTTTTACTGCTTTTTTTCCTTTTTTTTGTTAATATATATATATATTTTTTATATATTTGCATTTGTATTTATATATATATATATATATATATATGTATATATCTAGTTCCTTCATTCCGGTATTCCGTTTACACGCTATATATTAAATATATACGCGATGTACGTTCTTATATCTTAGCAAGGATTAACAATCTATGTTTTACTCGACGCAACGACACGCGAATTACGTACATTACATGGCTGATTCCTTGAAATTCATCAAAATAACGAGAAGGAGAGAAACGGAGTACATATGGACTCTATTGCACTTCGGGATGGACCGTCATAATTATTATTATTTTTTTTCATAAACATTTTTTATTTCTATCATCGAGCATTCCAGATGACACATAAAATTTCTTTGTCATTGGTTATCCCAGCTATTGCAAAAAAATACGGGTGGATGGTGTTCTCGTATCAACGCGATGTTTTTAGATGTTTAAAAAACATCTATTACCAAACTCGAATAAGAATATAAGAACTTTGTCTTGATTCTAACTCTTTGTTTCTTCTTATATATGCGAGTAAATTTCTTCCATTGATTTTAATACATATACGCTTTGTCATCCTGGGATCCAGACTTCCAAACGATTGAACATCGTGTCAAATTTTAATTCTTTTTTTTTTTTCTTTTTTTTTTTACAAATGCAAACAGACAGATTATGATACATTTTATGTATCACGATTTTCTTTTTTTCCTTATTTTACGATTTCGAAATTAACTTCTTCTTCTTTCGTTTTTTTCTTTTTTCTTTTTTTTTTTTTTTTGTATATATTATATATATCCGCAGTCTAAAAATCAAGGAACAAACAAATTTCTTCGTATTGGCTCATCTACAACGCAAGCCACAGACTTGTATACGCTCACGGTTTTCGTATTGCCACCATATTATAAACCTAGACTTAAAAAGTAAGAATTGGCCAGTAAATCGATCACTGGGACCAAATAAATCGATTATTTAACGCTTTAAATCGTTTTATCAGTCTGTGCTCTCCTAATCCATGACGAATTACAATATGAGAGAAAGAAAAAAAAAAAATTAAAACAAAAAGATATAAAAACAAGAAGAAAAAAAGATGTATGATATGGATGTCTGGGTCGTTGGAAGATAGAATATAATATAGTTTGAGACTCGATAAATACGTGATCCGCGAACACAGTCAATTGTCCATCTATCCACCAATATTCGCGAGTCCTCGTAAAATGCATCATCGAACAGCAATTAAATGGGAGCTTCAAATACAACGAACTATCATTTTTGTCTCTTTTTCTCTCCTTTCTTTTTCTTCTTCTTCTTCTTCCTTTTCATTCTCTTCGTTATTTTATCTTTTCTTTTTTGACTTTCTCCTAAGAAAAAAGAGAAGTCAACAACCGCGTTGCATTTTTAATTATATTTTTCATTTCCGTCCTCGTTATGTTGCTCGCAATGTATATACGCGCGTCTCGCATAAAAAAGAAAAATAATTTTATAGGTATCGCGGTATTTGATCAATCGCGCATCTGAGATCGTGATATTCGTTTAATAGACGAGAAGAGGAAAAAATGTTTTTTAAACTTCCCGTATATCGTTCATTTTTCACGAACAATTAATATCGAACAATTAGTCGAAATGAAAGTCGGATATAATTGTTCTACGATTTTGCGATGAGATTCAAAAAAATCTGCAATCATCTCTACGACTCTCTTATCTACCTTCTTCCCTTTTCTTTTCGTCTCTCTCCTTTTTTTCAATTCTTTTTTTATTTATACTATTTTTTCTTTTTCTTTTCTTTTCTTTTTTTTTTTTTTTAACCACATTTTCTCTCCATCGAGAATTCTTGTTTTTTTTTTTC